AGTTGTGCAAAAGCTAAAGAATTTGCTAATTGCAAGGAAAACAGTTAACAGCAGAGCTCTAATTAGGATTGCCTAACTAGCAAATACCCTGTATATCAATTGTATCAAACTTTATGATATGCGAGAAGTAGAGTTTTCGTTCCTGGATCTCGATAAGCCGCATAATAAATATTTCAGAAGAAACAACTTCATTTCCGTGTTTTGCATTTGAAATGACATTTATGATTGATAAAAATACGAACATATCTGCCTATATCTGCCTATAACAATCATGAATACAACTTTATTATGCCTTTCCAATTCATAATGAGTAAATGGGCTTTAGGAACTACTTGTCTAGATAATCGTTAACGTGTTACCAAACCGGTTTGTCACAAAGTCTTATTAAATTTGTTCATTTTAATAGACTCGATTCTCCGCTACCAACTGTTCAGCTTATTATAATCTACTTTATGGCTTTAAAACTAATTTCAAATATGTTTACACAGATTCCAAACTGTTTTATTAGCAAATCTCGTAGATTTATAAATGTTTCGCCTTTATTTCGTTCCGTTTGTAATTCCAGTTCTAACTCGAATATCAGCTTAGCAGACAACGGCAATCGGCACCGTTTAAAGACACATTTACTGTTTTTATTCCATAACCATATAGGGCAAGCCAAGTCTAGACTCTGGACGCTGACATTGTCTTTGTTTTCCCGAACCGGTCCCATCATCATCACCAGGTTCGTGCGTCATACGTGAGCCCAGACGGCAGACCATAAAAGTATTGCAACTAAGTACATAACGAATGAGACAATCACCCGTTCTTGCCAATGAGCAGCAACAAACGAATTGTGCAATAAATCAATACGAACGAAAAGAACAAGAACTAATAATAAAAAAAGAAGTTAAAGAGCAACAAGCCCTCCATGTGCTCAGCTCCTCCTATGCAAAAGCAACGTCGGCGCTTAATTGTTTACTTATAATTATTTACTCATGAGCTCTGCTGATGCATGTCCTTAAGCGCCGCTTCCTTCACATTGCCATTTCCCTATCCATTCCCCTGCTCTCTCCAGTTTGTCTGGACTTCATTTGTTCTATACCCACACTAGCTCCAACATACGTACGTACATATGTCTTATGTACTATGTCAGCATAGCAGTGAAGTGACTGTAACTACTCTACTAAAATACTCAGCTGAAGTCGGGTATTGCTCATTTGGATGAGGAAAGATTCTAATATTATATTTTAGTTCTTTTAGTTCTGTTACATAAAAGATGTTCTCTCTTATCTAACGTTTATCTAAATAGCTATAAATAAAAATCATATAGATTATAAACAAAATTTATTTACTAAAACATTCAGGTATATGAGAAATTTAATATTAAATAATATTAGCAGTCAAATAATAAAGTGAATAAACGAAATTTGTTGAGCTCAGAATAGACTTCCATATATGAAATCATTTTAAGTGGGGAAACCTGTACAGAATCTGAAATGAGGACTCTGCAAGGTTTCCTTTACAAGTTTTATTTTTCCATCCACTCAGTTCGGTTCTAGTTTCGGCTTAGTTTTTTTTTACAGAGAAGCCATTAGAATGCCTATGCTTAAAATATTTTCAATTTTTCCTATGAGAACTTTTAATTAATTTAATATTTTAATTTTATAAATACAACTTGAAGTTCTTAAGGCTCATTCTTCTTCTTCGAAGTTCGCATCTTGCTTAGCTAAAAAGTAATTTTAAACTCAACATGCACAATTTGATTATTTTAAAGTTCTAAAATAATCAAAATCAAAATAATATACAGAAAATAGGAAATGTCTCTTGTTTTAATTAATAAAATTATATAACTTAAATTAGATATTTTAATATATAACTTAAATTACATAAAAATAAAATAAAATAAAAAAAATATAATAATTACAATAATTGGATTATAGAGAAATTAAATAATTTTAGTTGTATATTCTACTTAATAAAATTACATCATTTTAATTAAATAATTTGTTAATCTATAACTAAAAGAATACAATTGTTGTCTATAATTTTAATATAATCTATATTTAGTTGGTATTAGTAATATAAATTATTTTTATTTATATTTATATTTATTAAGAAAAATCTTGCCGAAAATATATTATGTCTCTATAATTTGTATTTTATATTTTTATAATAATACAATTTACTAATAAGCAATTAATAAATTAATTAATAATTAAATTTTCATTTTAAAATTATATAATTTCTTTCTTGTTCTTCTTTATTTTCCCACTGCATTTAGAGCATTCAAGCTGCGCCGTTTGCTATCTCTTCTGCGCCTAAGCTTTGTTGTTGCTCTTGCTCAAGACTTAAAGCCGGCCGGCTTGTCCAGTTGTTTGGTATTATTTTTTTCTTTTTCTTTACATTGTTTGTTTGCACAAGCAAAGGCTGCTTTTTTGTAGTGCTCTCTCCCTCTCGCGCGCGCACTCCTGACTGCTCTTTGTTTTTTTGTTTCAGTCGCTCAGTGGCTCGCTCAGTTTAACGTTGATTTTTTTGGGCTTGTTTGCTTGGCCTTAAGCAGGTGTGACTTATGCATGTGTGTGTGTGTGTGTGTTTGTGTGTAGACTTGTTTGTTGCTTTTGTAATTTGTGCTCGAGCTGTTGTTGTTTTTGTTGTTACTTAATCGTCTGTGCACAGGTTATCGCTTGCTCTTGAACTTGCGCTCAGCGCCAGAGCAAATAAGCAAACAAACAGACAAAACATAGGAAATCGGTACGTTAAACTCGATCTGGTCAAAGGTGACTTATATTTTCTATATATATATTTCACTTTGTAGGCATAAACTAATTGGCTGACTGCTTGCTGCTCGCTGCTAGCTGCGCCGTTTTGTCGCGTTTGCAGCAATTATGAAAACGCAGCCATTGGCGACATGATAAACGGTTTCCGCAATATTTCCGCCCGCGCGCAGTGCGGGGGGTTGGCAAGGGCAATGGACCCAACAGCTGCCGTCGCCGTTGTCGCTGCCTCTGCTCTAGGGTTGCATCTGTTTGCCCATACGCCAGTCGCTTGCTTGCGGCATCGTTTTACTCTGGCCCACTTCACACGGGCCTTCATAATTTTAACACAGCGCACAAATTGTCCTTGCGCCGCAGCGGCTTGTTTACGGTTTTGTTCCAGCCAGCTGAAAAGGGACTCAGGGCCACAGAAAGCACAGTTGAGCCAAGCAAAAGACAGCATCGAGCCGAAGCCAAGTGAATGCAGGAGCGCAATGAGCCACACAATTGAACAGAAACCAAAGAGTTTTAAAGCCGACTTGGCCAACGATATAAAAAGCCAAAAGCCAACTCTGCTTAAGCTTGCGAGCCAACATAATTATGATAATTTAAATTTTTAATAATTTATTTGATGTTCATTGGAAGAAAAAGTTATAAAAAAAGGGTTAAGAAATTTCAAGAAGTGAAGCGTTTTAAAAAGGGTTAAGTAATTTCCAGAAGTAAAGAGTTCTAAAAAGGGCTTAGAAATTTGTGGATAATTAAGATAAAGTGTATAATGCTTGAGTCTTACAATTCTGTTGAATTTTGCAAAAAAAAAAATTATTGAATGAATAGAAGTAAAAGAAGTTAAAATTGAGTTTTTTAACATTTGTATTTAAAAAATATATATATATTTTTGTTACTTTTGTATTAGTTCATTATTAGTTTAACCTATAAATTAATAATAATTATAATATTATAAATTTGGCTAAGTAATGTGAAGTACATTTTTTTTTAAACTTTTCAAAACTGATTTTTCGAGTTCATTTTTCAATTAATTTTTGGTTTAATTTTTTATTTTAAAAGTTTCTTAACTTAACTTAACAATATATCATGTATTTATAGCAATTTGAACTTATAATAAGCTGTCTATATAAACTCGCCCATCTATTAGCTTATGCAATCTCTCTTAAATACATAAAAATTATTTTGAAATACCACACACCCAAGTTGATTGTTTTCTTGTTCTTGCTCAGACTTAATCTTCATATCTTTAATTGAATGTCTAGTGAAAAATGCTTGAGTTGTACTCGTTGAGTTCGTTTGGCGCAAATGCTTGTCGCGTCGCCCAAAGAACTTTTGATTGATTCGTCTCGGCTTTGAGTGCACAGACATAAGTACATATAGCTATATAAATATGTATGCTATCTGTATTAACGCCACCAAATGAGGAAATGCTTACTTTAATCCATTAAATACATATATGCATATATGATTCTTTCATCTAATTTAGCGAACGATCTTGACTTTTAGTTGATTTATTCGCTGCGCTCAAGCAGCCTTTATCTTCTTCTTCTCTTATTCTGCTTATGCCGTTCTAAGGCATGGGAATGCATAAAGCGGCCACAGTCGCCACACTTAAGAAATTGCGCTCCACATATTTATGCAGATGGATACACACGCACACACACAAAGATACATATAGTTGCCTATGTATGTATTTCTTATTTGCAAATTTATTTAAATTTATTTGTTGTCGATTGGTTGGCATACAAACAGCGCACAGAATTGTTTATGACCGTATGCAGCCGTTGACAGTTGCGCGTTTGGGTAAGGGAATTGGAGCGGGAAAGGCAAGAGAAGGCGGGCAACAATGGGTTAAATCGGCTGCATCAGCTTTTATTGTTTTGTCTTGCAAAAATTTTGTGTTCGCCACATTTCACTTGCTGCGGTAATAAAATTCCAAGCAAATCCAGCAAAATAACAAAACAAATTGTTTTCTATTTTTTATTTGTGATATTTTTAAAAACGAGGAACAAGAATTTGCATAACAAAAGTAAAAGGCGCGCGCGGGACACCAGGCGCAGCTCCGTTTGTTATTTTTGGCATGAGCAACAGCGAAAGAACGAGAAGGAGACCCAAACAGTAGAGCGTAAGCGAGAGCGCATTATAATGTTTACTCGAGCGACGCCAGGCGACAGCGACGTTGACGGTGACGGCGACGTCGACGTCACTGCTATCGGGTTAATGCACCGCAGCAGAGATTAACAACAAATTAAGGCTTACCTTTCTCAGTTAAGGGACTGAGCGTTTTTGTTTTTGCTGTTGTGGAAACGGACTCCTGTTGCTGCTCCTGCTGCTTCGATTTGCTGCTAGCAACGACGGCGACGACGATGACGAAAACCAGCAACAACAACAGACACGAATTCGCTGTCGCCGGCATTTTGCCGCTACTGCGCTGCCTGCTGCTGCGGCGACGGCTGTTACTCTTGTTGTTGCTGCAGTTGTTGTTGTTATTTCTGCTGCTGTTGTTTTACTCGTAAAAATAAGACAAAAACAAAGCACGCACTCGCACTGACACACACAAACGCGTAAAGCAGCTATTGCTTAAAATGTACTTTGTTTTGTTTATATGTTCAGCATTTTTGTGCCGCAAATTGTGGCAGTGATATTTTTTGTTTACTTTTTACTCGTTTTGTTTTTTTTTTTATTCTTTTGCCGCGCGAATAACAAATATGCGCATACACACGCACACACACACACAAAATATTACACTTAACACCAATACACGCTAACTTTGAATTAGGCACAAGGCTCAAGCAAATTGTAAACACAGCGTTGCCTGTACACACAGAGATATTTATTTTTTACATAATTTTCATTTATTTTGCCATATGTATGTATATTTATGTATATTTGCGTCGGCGTAAATAATTAAAAGCTGCGCGACGCCTCGAACTACACGCACAGAAAACCGTAAGAAGACTGAGGGAAAAACACAGCATTCATTTAGTGAGCAGTTCAGAAGGTAACTCTTTGAGCAAGCACTCACTGAGAGTGTAAGCAGTAAGAACACGTGACGTCACAAGTTTAAAAGTTCCATTCGCAGCATTCACGTTAGAAATCAAAATATAATGTGTTTGCAATAAAATTGATTATTCATAATAATTATATATATATATATAAATATTATTTCAGTCAATTCTCATTTGTATTATTATTTAATTAAATTGCCGTATATGTATATCGATATGTGGAATCTCTAGCTGGCCCACATTTTTGTCATAACTAACAGTCAGTTATTTAATGACCTCTACATCCCTGGTATTTTTTGAATTGTGTGCAGCCCTGTTATATTCTATTTTAAACCAAAAGCAGGCGGCGCCAAAATCAAGAAATACGCTGAAGTTAACAATATTATAACATTCGGTTTTGAAATACGTTGCCACAAACAACAAAAATCCAAATTTTTTGTCATTTCAATTTTTGGAAAGGATTTAAAATTTATTTGTTTGCTAATGTTGCCTCAGCTGCTCGTGAGTAAACCAAAAAATGAGAATTGGAACTGCACTGCGATTGCATAATTTGCATTGCATCTGTTTGTGATTTATTTTTGGGAACAGCGCCGCCATCATATGGTACGCTCTGCGCTCATTAGCCGGCGACGTTTTGCATGCGAATCAACCAGTACAAAAGATGATATCATAGTGGACTTCGAAGATCCTGATTTGCCATTGCCCGAGTATCCCAAGCGTCCTGATGAGCCATTAGACGCGCGCAAGCAACGGTAAGTGTTATATTGAATTAATTGTAATCGATAACATACGATTAATTTTCGAACAGTTTGATGTATCAATCACGCAAACGGGGTATGCTTGAGAACGATCTGCTTCTAAGCACATTTGCGCACAAATATCTGAAGGATTTCAATGCCCATCAGACGGCGCTCTACGACGAGCTTATCAATGGCGTGAGCAACGATTGGGACCTCTACTATTGGGCAACGCGCGTTAAGCCAACGCCCGCGAAATACGATACAGAGATCATGAAGCTGCTGAAGTTGCACGTTGATAATGCGGATAGGGTCACGCGCCTTAGGCAGCCAGAGTTGACCTACTACTCGCACCGTTGAACATCTAATTTTAATTACTAGTTTTTTTTTTTTTTAAAGGGAAAACGTAAACAAGGCGACAATACTTGCGGTCCGCCTTGGGTATAGTTTTCCCAGTGGCTACTCCCCCACCTTTCGGTTTCGCGCTTTAGGCTTAAGTATTTCGTTTTACGTTTGACGAATTGAACAAGAACAAAGCTTGCTGCAGAATATGTGGATACAGACCAGTAAAAATACACATGCAATTACACACTCATACTAGCACAGATACACACCCACACAGACTCACACTGACACGCTGACTACATTTATTAATCAGGCCCATCCAAATTCACACACATGAGAAATTAGTTGCACCTTTTAACACGATAGTTTTGCAGGGCTGGTTGTGCTTAATTGATTGGGTATAATTGCCTGATATCGTTCTATTGTTAATTATGATTTAAAAATTAAATGATTTCAAAAATTCACGGCTAGCAACGTTCGAAAACTTTGTACAGGGTAGGCAAGCTGGTCAGCTCGTAGAGATGCTTCTTAAGGTGTGCCGGCGGCAGCAGGAACTTCTTGAAGCCTGGGAATAGCACGTGCTCCATGTACCAGTGCTGGCTGCGCATGTCACCGTCGTCCTGCCAGTCCAGCTGGGCGTAGTAGCGCGCGGTCTCCCGACAAAATGTCTCGAAGCACTGCGCCTCCTCTGCCCATTCCACCTCGGTGGCCAGGCGCAGCAGATAGATGGGCAACTGGGCGCGGCTGGGCACATGTTGGGGCAGCAGCGCTGGCAAGGACTCCAAGCAACCCTGCTCCGAGATGCGCAGCGCGAAATACTCTCGCATAAGAGGCGCCATCTCTTGCAGTATGGCCACTGCGTTATCGGCCAGCTCCGTTTTGTCGCCATCCTCGGGCACCCAGCCGGCGGCCTGGCTGTCCAGTGCAATAAGCAACAGTTGCTGCAACGGCAGTGGCGGCACCACGCGCACCTCGGGACAATTCTGGAACTCGTAGACCAAGCGCTGGTAGTAGAGTTCCTCGCTGAAGGCATGCGTGTTGCACATGTAGAGGCGCGTCTCGTGCTGGAAGAGCGCATGCCGCTCATCCACACAGCCCACGTAGACCAGCTGCTTTACGATGCTGCGCAATGGCACTTGGCACTGACGCTCCACACTCTGCTGCATGTTCAGCACGCTGGTTAGGCGCACCTCCTTTGATTTGCGCGCTGCTGTCACCCGGAAGCTTTCCTCTTGTGATAGCGTTTCATTGCCAGAGCTGGAGGATAGGCCCGAGTCAGTTTTCTCCAGCGTTTTGAAAAACTTTTCCAGCTTTTGCTCAGTGGAATCCGTGCGCACCATGTCCTTTTCATAGATGCGCTGCGTTTTGTCCAGCGTTTGCGTTACCTCCAGATCCACGGTGCCCGGTAGCTTGAGCTGCTTGTAGAAGCTACGTGTAGTATTGCTGCCCAGCAGCTTGGCCTCCACCTGTTGCTTGATGCGCTCAATGATCTCGTCCTGATAGAGAAAATGCACCTCGTGCTTTGTCGGATGCACATTGACATCCAGATTATGTGGCGGCATCATAAGGCTCATGTAGACAAACGGATGTTGGCCACGTGGCAAATACGTGGCATACACGGCATCCAGTGCAGTTTTCAGTGCTAAAAGCTCGAGAGGATTAGCAAAGCAATGGAGATCTTTATGCCGTCAATTACCTGACGATTCAACTAGGCGATGATTGATAAACAAGAGAAGCGTTGACTTCTTGGCAGCATAGTTGACCTGAGTGAGCTGACACTCCATCTCAAACTTGAACATGTCATCCTTATGACTGAACTCCATCAGCTCCTTGGCAACGGCGGCACCATATATAGCGCGTATATTCTCTGCTCGAGAGCTGCATGCTTGCGTTTTTAGACTTGGCTGCTCGCCTTGCTTGCGCAGAACGAACCCCACCTGTGGATTGTGGACGGCGTACTTGGCTAGCACATCGGAGATCTTTTGGAATTCCTCTGCAGGGGACTTAAGCGCCTGCCGTCGCTGTGGCATTGTGCAGAACAAGTCTTCGATGGTAATGATAGTGCCCTGATTGCCGGCACACGGTTTTGGTGGGGCAAGCAGCTTGCCATCCGCATAGGTGGCCTTGTAGCCGCAACGCTCGGTGGCCGTCTTGGTTTGAATGCTCAGATGGGCTACATGGCTAATACTGGCCAGTGCTTCGCCACGGAAACCGAATGTGGCAATTTCTGTTAGATCCTCAAACTTGCTAAGCTTGGATGTGGTGAAGCGCTCGCAAACAATAGCCAAATCGTCTTTGCGTATGCCAGTGCCATTGTCCTGGATTTGCAGCAGCTTCAGACCGCCGGACTTAATGTTTACTTGAATATGACTCGATTTGGCATCTAGACTGTTTTCCAACAATTCCTTTAGTGCGTTTGCTGGACGTTGAATAATCTCGCCGGCAGCGATGCGATTGACAACCACCTCATCTAACTTTTTGATGATTCCAGGTTCCAGCATGGCGCCAAGATTCTGTGCATTGTAAACAAACTAGCGATGTGACAATAAACTATCGATTTATCGACAGTTTGGGATTGTTTAGCTAGTCTGTGAGCACGTACATTAGACGTCAAATGTTTTGATTTTAAAAACATTGTTTTTTTGTTACCTTTAATAAACAAATAATTTGTTAACAGTTTTCATTAAACATAAGCTTCAAATAACAATTCGTAAAGCATTTACAACTACAACTATTTTGATTCGATAATTATCGAAATTATTAGTATATGATTATTTGTACTACGTTGTACTATTTAAAGTTTAACGGAAATTTTTGTTTACTAATACTATATAGTTCGCTGGTATATGTGTGCATGAAAGCTTAGAAAAGCCATTTACATTTCAAGCAAATAAATACAGAGATCCCCAAAACAATTGTAGTGTACTTAAAAACACTTCGCACCTTGCGTCGCTTACGCTCAGCGAGAATTTCGTTGTAATCAATATACAGTGGATTCTGTGGTGGGCTGAACGAACCAAGCTGCAAATTAGGTACATGTTATTGGTGGTCGATGATGCAATACTTATCAAACAACTAACTCACATATTTAACCGTCTTGGTGAGATCGTCAATAACTCCGCGATATGCCTTCAAATTGCTTTGCAAGTTTGCCAGTTGCAACTCTGTTGGCCGGCCAAGTTTTCCATTTAGTTGATTTTGCATTACGAAGCGTAATGAGGCTTGTATAATCACCAAATGCTGTAAATGATTGGCGGTGATCATGAGGATCTCATAGAAGCTGCAATAATATAGCCAATTAAATACGTTTCTAATTTAAGGCAACTTCCATCTTCATTTACTTATCCATGCCGTCCTTCTTAACGCGTGCTATTGATTTCCTCGACCAGTGATGTAAATGAAAGCTATATACAAGAAATAAGAACAATAAATAGTAAATAGACGTCCGAATGTTATTTAACACTCACTCAAGTATGCCCTTTAAGATCTTGTTCCGATAGATGGGAAACATGATTCCAATGTCTCGCAAGCTTTTATCGTCCATGTTTAGAAACTCAGCAAGCGAAATGCGCGCTTTAGCAAAATGTTCCAACATATTTGACATTTCTAAAGAGTTTAATATGCTGCTCAGCTCTTGAAAGTACTCCGGACAATCGGTTTTCAGAAAAATGCGTGGCACATGATCGCGCAGCGTGCTGTAGCTGAGATAATTGGTTGGTACCATGTATTCGGCAGCAGGATCACGCGGCAGCAGCTCCAGTAAATCGTAGAAGCCATGGAATTCGGCAACCTGTTTTGGTGTATAGCCTTTGTTGTTAGCCAGGCTAGCATTAACACCAGCCTCCACTAAAAGCTTGACAATATCGCCATGGTTATGTTCAATGGCATGGAAAATGGGCGTGCATCCCTGATTATCCATAGCGTCGAAGCTAACCTCGCTAATGAGCAAGCGCACAACGTTGGTGTAGCCCCTGCGACAGGCAAACATAAACGGTGTCATCCCATACTTATCGGACACATTAATAACTGCGCCTTTTCCGAGCAGCAGCCGCACCAACTTCTCGGCAACATATGCATCATCTGTTTGACAGTCACAGGCTAACATCAGCGGCATTACAGAATCCACTTGCTTGTTAACATTTGCTCCAAGGTAGTTAACCAGGTACTCGGCTACTTCGTAGTGACCCTCACGACAGGCGCACATCAACATTGTGATTCCTGCAGTCACGACGTCATCCACAGGAAACTCGAGCGCAGTGATTTCTTCGCGCACACGTTGTAAGTTCCCCTCCATCAGTGCTTCGTACAACAGTTGGTCACGCTGCACATATGGAACACGCTTCTCTCGTTTAAGCTAAATAACGGTTTGTTTATGTTAGACTACATATGCCGAAGGCAGTAGAAGCAGTTGCTTACAGGTTCCGAAAAGTAGAAACCGTCATAGCTGCTGCAATCGGAATCATCAGAGTCTGGCGGTGGGCCGTAAGTAAGTTTATCGGTCATTTTGCTGTATAAATTAAACGCGCCCAAAGCAATTATTTTCCATTTAACTATTAAAAAATTGCGTAGCGAAAAGTAAAGAACTAAACAAAATGGCAAAGCTTAAAACGAAGTGTGGCCAAAGTGGGCAATTGAGAATTTCATGAGATGTCAAGACCAAGATGTCAGCTGGTCACATTGTGAAGCTTAGCTTTAAGAGCTTATTTATTATGAATTAAATATCGATATTGTTTTAATCGATTAAATTAGCGCATTATTTTAAAAGTTTTATTTTTACTAAAATTAGTATTTTTATACATCCTATGATTATTTCTTTCTATCCTTTTTGGCAAAACGTGGCCCACCAAAGTTTTTACCCTTGTTGAATTTATTTTTACCCGCCTTATTTGTTATCTTGACGTTGCTCGTTTTCTTCTTGGCAGCAATTTTCGTCATCTTCTTGTGGCGGTTGGCCTCGGATCTGTTTAAAAATAAGAAATAAATTTAGTTAATTACTGAAGGATTCAATGATTAGGAGTTTTGACCAACCTTAAACGTAGTGCGCCGCCGCGACTGACATCTGTTAAATCATTGGTGAAGGCGGATTGTCCACCACGCCTCTTGGGTTTGCCTCCAGCAGCCCCGGCATATTTGTTGGGCTCGGTAGCTGCACCCAGTTTGCCGGGACGCTTGCGTAGCTTGGCCATTTTGGCGCGCACCAGCGAAACCTTTTCAATTTCCTTCATGGCGCGCTCCTTGGCCAATTGTTCAGGCGTTTTCTTTCTGGGCTCCTCCTTCTTCTTCTTCTTGCGTTTGGCGTCCAGCTCTTTAACAGGCGGCCCATCCTCGCCATCACCTCCGTACTCTGGACGCTTGCGTTTGCCCGCCGTTTTGCCCTTACCAGTTCCTGCTGCTGCCGGCTTGGCCTCATCATCGTTTGTGAGCGCTAGGCGAGCCTTTTCATTCTCACGCTGTTGCTTAGTTTGGAACCAGGTGCGCCTCTCGTTCGGCTGTCCCAGCAACCTGCGTTCCGTTTTGGACAACTGCTGTTCCGTTTTGGCCAGCTGACGTTCCGCCTGCTCCTCGTCAAGTATGTTTTCTACCAAAGTCGAAGGAAAAATTAGCAAATCGAAATTTTCTTCGCAATTTTTACTTACGTATTTCGGGCTCCAATGCCGTCAGCTTGTTGCGATACTTCTCAATAATCTCTGGCGGTATAATACGATTTTTCACGCTACTCTCGGCATTCTTGATAATGTCCTTAACGATCTTGCGCTCCTTTTCGCCCGCCAGCGACACAGAGATACCAGCGCGCCCGGCACGCGCCGTACGACCCACTCTATGAATGTAGTGCTCCGTGGTAATGGGCATCACAAAGTTGATGACTGTCTTGACGCCCACAATGTCGAGACCACGCGCCGCCACATCGGTGGCAATCAGCACATCGATTTGTTCCTCTTTGAATTTCTTAAGCGACTCCAAACGCTGCTGCTGAGTTAAATTGCCATGCAGCTCGCCGGCTCGCACGCCCAGCAAGCCGAGCAGAATGTGCAATCGATGGGCCTGCTTTTTGGTCTGCACAAAGACCATGCAATGATCGTGAAAGGTTCGACAAATCAAGCTGGCCAAGATGGGCTCACGATCGCCCTCCTTGTCCTCTCGTATGCGTATAAACTCCTGCCTCAAATTGAAGGCCACCTGTTGATTGTTGTTAACGAAGACTTTGACGGGCTTATCCAGCGAGACCGCTGCCAGATCCTTGACCTGCTCGCTCATTGTGGCCGAGAAGAGCATCGTCTGGCGTGTCTTGCAGCAGGAATTGATAATTTCCTTCATTTGCTCTGCAAAATACTCGTCAAGCATGCGATCGGCTTCATCCAAGATAAGCACCTGCAACGTAAATAGAATCCAAATTTTAGCCCTGCTTTTAGTTGTGGACACCCTTTATTGCAGAGCTCTTAAAATCAGCTTGCAACTGCAGCGCAATCACAAGTACCAATAGTCAATCCGCATAGCTCCAAGGAGCTCGGAGCGCAAGGATTGTAATTCATCATCTTTTGCATAACTGCCTTCTAGCCCTTTCATCGTGCTTACCTCAATGGAATCCAAAGTGAAACTGGGCGTGTTTTTAATATGATCGATAAGACGACCCGGCGTAGCAATCACAATATCCGGATTCTGACGCAGCACAGTCTCCTGTGCCTTAACATCAAGACCTCCGATAGCCAGGCCCACATCAATGCTGGTGAACTGGCAGAGCTGCTTGGTCACCTGGTAGACCTGGGCACCCAGCTCACGCGTGGGCACTAGCACCAGGACTCGTGTAATGGCCTTGTTGTTAAGCGGCCGGTAGAGCAAACGCTCCACAGTGGGCAGCATGTAGGCGGCCGTTTTACCTGTACCGGTGGCCGCGCAGCCGCAAATGTCACGGCCCAGCAGAGCCACGGGTATGGTAGAAGCCTGAATGGGCGTGGGATAGATATAGCCAAGCACGCCGATGGCTCGCATGAGCGGGCGTGATAGATTCATTTGGTAGAACGATGTTATCATCTCATTGGCCTCCACAGTGTCATCGAATTGCATTTTCTCGCCTTCTTCATCCTCTTCCTCATCTTGCACTGATTTCTTCTTTTTGTTTTTACTCTGCTTCTTTTCACGAAGTCGCAAGTTATCGTGTTTGAGCTCATCGTCGGACAGCGCAATTTCTTCGTCGCTCTGTTCAGCGACCACAGCCTCGGCGCCGCCTCGTTGCTGCAGGCGAGCAGCGATTTTATCGTCTGTCTTAGTACGCGCCTTACGCTTCACATATTTCATCAAATCGTCCCAAGTATCCTGATTATATTCCTTTACCGACGAAACGAACTCAAAGCCCTTCTCAAACTCGGTAACCTTTTTGTGTCGTAGCTTGGTCGGTTGATACTACGAGTAAGACGAAAATTAGAACCTATGGAGACACTTGTTCAACTGTATACCTACTTCTACTTCAGCATCCGAATCTTCGGATAGATTTTCCACCTCGGCATCATCTTCAATAGTGCCGATAAGGTCTATATTTTTAGTTGCGCCCATTTTTATGCGCTCAACTGCAGCGCGTGTTTACAGTTTACAGTCTATACAACACGTGTGCGGGTGACTGCGATATAAATTTTCAATATATCGGTAAGCCTAATAATTTGCCGGCATTAAAGGTATATCGATAATTTTCGATTATTAGTGGCCCGGTAAACAGCTGTTTGGATTGTTATGACATTTTGTTAGTTGCTATCAAAATGTTGCGATTATTGACTAAAACTCGTATGGTCAGGTATATTAATATATAACAAACTGATTTAATATCTTAAATACATATAAGCATTTTACAGATCACTTGTGCCTGCTGCAGGCATGCGTGGCTACGCACAAAAGATACAAACTGGCAGCAGCAGTAGCATTAGCGCAAAGAACGAGGAGCCGCCAATTAGCAATGAACCCATTCAGTTCTTTGGCAGCCAAGCGGCCACCTGGCGGGCACGCGACACTCGCAGCGGTGGCAGTGATGAATCCCTGTGGTATCAGCCATATGTCATCTCAGCCAGTTTGGCCGTATTCCTGGTCTACTTTTGCTATCTACGAGAGGAGAGCGACATCGATCGGCGCCTGGAGGGAAATCTTTACGATCATGTGAGTGGCTTGGAAGAGGTGCAGCTCACAGTCAACTATAGATACAACAAAGAGCATGGACTGGACACCAAAGAGCAAGAGCAACGTCTGCGTGAACTGGGCGTCGATATAGGGCAATTGGATGCCAAATTAGCTCAGTAGCTGGCACAGCACTAGTCATAGATGGTTTGTTTTACTTCTTCCTAAGAAAAAAGTTAAATATACATAAACAAGATAAAAAAAATGCATTTTTTATATGTATTATATTTATCTATTTAACAACAAACTTTATATTTAACAGCATTTGGGTAATCTTAATCGAACGCTTCCATTTGTTTATAACAGACAATCATAATAATTACTGAAAACATTTATATATATCTGCTTAAAAAGTAATGTAACAGTTTAGTTCAGACTAAGCCTACGTCTCATCTACATTATCAACTTTTTCTTTATTCTGTGTCGAATTTCGTTTATGGAATTTGGTTTCACAATGATGCCTGAATGCCGCATGGCCCTTGATTGTACGATCGCAGGCCTCGCAGTAATGCACCGGTCCCCTGGGCACATGCTTCTCGACAGGCGAATTGTTGGGCAAATCTCCCTGCAGCTTGGCCAGCATCTCAACGTGCCGTAAGCTGTCGCAGTGGCGCATATAGTTGCTTTTCTCTTTGATGGTCACGCCGCAGGGCTCGCAGTAAACAGAATCATTCTTCAAATGCACCTTCTTAACATGCTCGTAGACCTCCTTTTTGCAGTAGAACTCCTTGCCGCATGTCTCGCAGATGAAGTCCTTCTGTTTGAGATGAATCCGCTTGACGTGTATATTGAGCAGGAAGGTATTCAGGAATTCCTTTTGGCATATGCTACAAGCAGCTCTAATCGGCGGCTTGGGCTCCGGGCGCGGCGGAAGTCCCAATTCCAGCCGACGTCTTTGCATCCGTGCACGATTCGCCTCCCGAGCCTCCTCCCGGCTGTGCTTGTCACAGCAGCGACTCTGCGAGGGCAATTTGCAGATGAGGCAACTGAAGCTGCGCATATGGGCCAGAGCCACATGCGCGCGTAGCGAACGCTCCAGCTGGAAGCGCCCCTTGCAGCTGGAGCATTTGAATCTACGAAGCCGCAATCGACACGCATTACGCACGCGTTGCAGATGCTGCATGTAAATGCGACGCGTGTGAAAGTTGCGAGTGCAACTAGTGCAATGCCAACGTCGGTTGCACTGACTGATGGCATGTTGCTTCTGCCTATGAAGTTGATGGCTATAGCTGTACGGGTAACTATGGTTGCATTGTGGACAGGCGCTGAGCGGGCAGCGCTTTCGAGGCGCCGGTGGCACGCGGACTTTCGATTCCAAAACATAATTCGAGTAGCTGTCTCTGGGCATGCGGACGTGCAGTTCTTCAACAAGAGGAAGCTGTTCCAGTTGCTCCGCCAGCTCTTGCTGCTGCTGCACCGACAGCATTAGCTTATAGGTCTCATTTTCCAACAGTGGTCCCGCCACGTCCCGTTTTGTGCGTCGGGTCCTATACGAGAGCAGATTGTGCTGCAGAAAAAAACGACGATAGCATAAACGACAATGCAAATTATCGCTGGGCTTGTGCTGCCATTGATGTGCTTCCAGCTGCTGCAGTCTGCGCCACGGCATCTGCGCGCAGTCTTCGCAGCCGCAGCGCAAGCCTGGAATAATAGGAGCAGCTGCCGTTGACCTTAGTGCAGTACAAGACTCGCTGTCATTGAGCTTGGCAACGGCTCGACGATAGCCTGATGTTATGGTGTCCATAATCTGCTCTAACTGGGCAATGTTCGTGGCGCTCGGCTGCGCTTCGAAGGCAGCGCCCAAAGCTTTGTAATCTGATAGCAAATCCACTTTGTGGTATTTATTACTCCAGAAATTCTCACAGGACTGAGCTACGCGCAGCAGACGCATCATGTCCGTGGTGCTAAAACGCACCATCTTTTGCACAAGTCCGCCGGATGACGTTGCCTCCTCATCGAAGCTTACGTACTTTTGGATGAGACCGCTGCAGCATTTGCAATTACAAGAGCAATCGCTGCTGCAACTGCTGTTGCTGGCTGTGACGACAGGGGCAGGCAGGCTGGCGCTAAAATGTTGCACGGCAACCGCCAATTTGCAGGGCCAAGACATCTTCGCGCCATTTAAAGTGTAGCAAACAAAACACAATATTCTAAATACGCGACGGTTTAAAAGACGTTGCTCTGAAGTTTCGATTAACGTTAGGTATCGATGAATTCTGAGCTGTATAGTGGAATGACAATAGCGAATTTATATTGCAATTGGTAGACTTAACTTAGAATATTTTCGCGAAGGTCGAAGATGATATAAAAACTTACTATTTATGCATAAATATCTCACAGGAAATTTACCAACATTAAAAGATACCATTTTAACTAGTTACTGCTATGCTAGTAAAAGAATGAGATGTAGCTGTTAGATTAATGTGCTACTAAATGCGTAATAAGATCGATTGCTTGTATGCTCTATATATCGATATATCATAATTTTGGTATTCTCGCACTTGTCGCATTGCAGACACACATTGATTGTTGTTTTCGGACAACAAAGACGCACTCGGGCGGCGTAATTCATTTTTGCCAGACAAGGTCTGTGTGCATTCGGGGAAAGGTAAACAATTGTGCAAGTGTTGGCTGAAACGATTGAAACGCGTAAGTACCGTGCGGTTGAGCTATATTATTCTTCATTAAACTCCACAGAGCATCTATCACTCACACATACGCACTCACACGCATACGTATCTTAGATATCGAACATGCATATATATATTAATATATATATATATATATATATATAGATGTATCAATTTAATTTAAATTAAACTCGTCTGCATCCGACGGGCAGGTCCAAAGTTCATTTTTTTGTGCAGCGATTTTTGCTTAAGTGTGCGTCTGCTTTAGATGTATGTGTGTGTGTCTGTAGGTGTGTGGGTGCGTAGATGCATACACAATGATAAAAAGAAAACGAGTCAAAGAAATTATAAAATGTTATTGTCAAATGCCGTTTCTTTTTTCGAAGCTCCTCACGTTCTCTATAAACAAAATACGTTGCAACAATGGCTTCGCATTTCTTTCGCACTGCATTTTACGCAACTGCAGCGAAAAAATCAATAAATCTACCGTTTGCCGCCGGCCGCACGGCCGCAACGCTTGCCGTGGGCCTCTCCTTTGGTGGTAAATGCTTTAAGATTATAGACATACACACATTTATTTATATAAATACGTATATTGTATGTCTCTGTCCTGATGTCATCCATAACAACAACGAACGACTACGATCACGACAACGACAACAACCACAACAAATCCACAATTTACAGCTCAGAACAGTCGTGCAGCTGCAGTGCCCTATGAGAACGTCTATGCGGATAGGTTCTTTGGCATCGCCGGCGGACTCCCGATCGCCGGCAAGGACAATGGTCTGTTGCAGGGACCGCTGGGCGACTACCGGGCCATGCAAAAGCCGCTCGCTCGCAATTTTTCAAGTCTTCAAACGCAACTGGTGGGTCATGTAAGCAATTATAAATTTAATATACAATTTCTATATTTTTTTTTCTCAAGGTCTTAGGTATATATATTCATATGCAATATTGGGCAATTGTTTGGCTCTGCTTTGCTTTAATTGTTTGCCGATCACCATTAATTTATGTGCATTTTTTACGCATTTAAGTTATAAATTGCTTAGCATATGGCTGACATATAGTTAACAGAAATTATATTGTAGTATGTAAATTACGGTACAATTAGCAAACACTTCATAAAATTCATTACGTAGCGTTTAACGCATTGATTACATTCAAGTATGAAACTGACGTAGGCGCATTCCTTAACATTATCAGAACCTTCCGCAACATTTGCACAGCGCTAACATAATGATTACATTTCAGAGCGTTCACAGTATTATTGCCATAGTCCAATGCTTTAACATTAACAGCACCTTCCACAACATTTGCACAGCGCCAACATAATATTCATTACGTTATGATCATCAGCTAGAACGTTAAGCCACAGCGCACTGCTCAATGAGCTGTGGATGATAATGTTGTGCACTTTGCTCCCGGCGTGAAGTGATTTAACTTTTTCATTTGAATGATTTGCCGGCGAATATATGAATAACAACAAATAAATAATTAATCTTAAATATATATATATGCAATTAGTTCGTGCTCATTTGTCGCTTGACTTAAGCAACAAATTATTCCCATTTATAGACTTTAGTACTCAACCTTTAACCCTTAAGTTTGGCTGCACCTATGCAAAACGACCCCTATCGTCCGACATTTGCACTCACTCAATTGGGGCAACTTTTGCGCTGATAAATCATAATGGCGCTCAATGTCAAGCTTTCAGCAGAAGCTCGCGATCGTGCTCTCGCTGGCATTCGCAGCTCTCACTTGGCAGATTGTTCCACGCTACGCACGGAAGGGGGGGATCCGCTTCCAATGCCGCAATGTAATTCAATCCGCCGCAATGGCAATTCGGATCCCTCGAACTACGTACGCACACACCTAGATACACAGACACAGACAGTGGCAGTGGCGCTCACGAAACATATGCCTTCCAGATTTCTATTGGAATCCGGGCGCACTCGCCCACCATGTTTTAAGCTCGTTTAAGACAGTCGATCAAAGCTTTTGTAACTGCAAATACATGTTGGATATACACAAATTCTAATTATGGAATTCATAATTGGAATTGCGCTGGTTTTCCTCTTACTGATTATACTACATAAGGTCTACAAACGTCTGAAACGTGTGAGTTTGTCTTCTTCTTTATTTTGATCGAACTTTATTGCGATATCTGCTGCCCGGTGCTAAAATGTCCAATGATTAGCCAGTCGCTAGCGTATAATCTGTATTAGACGACTGATAACACTCGAAGTTCCCCGACCACAACTTCGTATGCTGCTTATCTAAATTGCAACAGTCTTATCGACAGATTGGCGGAACTGGATTAGAGCGTACTATGCAGACTATTAAAAATAATTTAGTCTGCTCGAAACGCGTGTGACTGAAAGTCAAGCAATACTCCGTCCAGCTCCAAAAGCAGTGCAAATTGCCTATATCCATTTAAACTAGGTGCCATAAATAGTTCCTGGAAATTGCTATTAACACCTGATTAGAAGTCCCTATCTAACTGAACACATAAGTACACGCCAGCATTATCTTATCAATCTAATCGTAGCCCGATTTACTTACATTGTCGGCAAACATTGAAGGTCGTACCGAGTTCACTAATCCGGAGAGACGGACTGAGAGTTATAAAGTACTAATGATATCATCATTTGCTAATTTGCATGACAGGAATATAAATTAAACTTGTTTTTTTTTTTGGCTCAACCAATTTCTGGCCTATCTTATCGGTTACCCAGATAAGATCAACTCGACCTATCCAAAACATTGCTGGGTGAATTTGATAACAATTAAGCAATGTTGATCGAAATTGGATTTTCAATTTTCCCTCATTTTCCGCATTGAAAATGAAAGTTAGTAAAATAAAATGTATAAATCTTGATTTATGAAAAGTTTATAATCGGCTTTGATTGGCAAATACTAGAGACCTATTATTATATAAACGAGATCTATATTGAAATGTTAACTAATCTTGGCTTGTCTGCTTTCGTTGCACAGAGCGCCATGGCACCGTTGAAGAATCGTCGGTATTTATCCTCCAAGGATATTACGAAAAATATGACACTCTACACGAACAACAAGGCGAACGTCGAAGTGGATCCCAAGACACTGGCCTTTAAGAAGCCCACAGGCAACCCGCTGGTGCTGATGATGGCCTGGCTGATGGCCAAGCAGAAGCACCTGAAAAAGTATGCGCAAATCTACACGGAAATGGGCTTCGACGTTATGGTGGTGCACATTACACCCTGGCAGCTGCTCTGGCCGACCAAGGGCACTCAGGTAGATACATACGTGCTGTAAATTCAATATCCATTTGTTTGCTCACTTCTCGGTTTGTTGTTGCCTCAGGTGGTCGCTGCTGAAACTTTAAAATTTCTGGAGAACAATAAATCGTATGCGCCGATCGTAATGCACGGCTTCTCGGTGGGTGCATATCAGATGGGCGAGATAATGTTGCAAATGTCGCGTGATATGGATCGATATGGCAGCATACTGGATCGCTTCGTTTGCCAGATCTGGGACAGCGCTGCGGACATTACTGAAATCCCCGTGGGCGTGCCAAAATCGATATTCCCAAAGAACGAGCGCATGCAGAGCGCCCTGCGCAACTATACCCTGTATCATTTAAAGACATTCCACAACCAGGCCACCATACATTATATGCGCTCCAGCCAGATGTTCCACTCCACGCTGCTCAAGGCACCGGCGCTGTTCTTTGTATCTGATAACGATCTGATTGGCCCGCCCTCCTCCAACCAGGCTGTGCGCGAGAACTGGGAGCGCGCCAACATAAAGGTGACTTTTAAATGCTGGCCACGCTCACAGCATGCGGCACATTTGATCAAGCATCGTGATGAGTATTTGGAGACGCTCTTCCAGCATTTGGAGAGCTGCGGTGTCCTCGAGTCTGTTGGCATTGCCAAGCGTGCCAAGTTGTAACCAGTCTCGCCGCTCAATTTGGGTGATAAAAAAAAACAAAAACATAATAAATTTCGACGATTTCATGATTTTACTTAGTTAATAAGAATTATAGTTGAACCATTTTGTTCCCTCTATGTTTGTGTGTGTGTCAGAATCATCAAAAATTATACCAAAATTTGCCTGCAAACAATTTTTTAGAATTAAGCGATAAAATGCTTTATTTAGTATCAGCTCGACAGTAAAGCAATGATAAATGTTTATTTTTGAGTCCAACACCAACACCAGCATCAACACTAAATAAAGTAATTTAATTAAAACTAATCAAGTTCAATTGTTTCTTCACTTTGTTTTCGTATCTTAAAAGTTTAAAAACCCAAAAACAAAAAGATAGATGCTCGCTGCGGACAGGATTCGAACCTGTGCGGGTAGAACCCAATGGATTTCAAGTCCATCTCCTTAACCACTCGGACACCGCAGCCTTGATTCAAGCGCCGCCAAATTGCAAACAACTTTGCTCGGTACTCTGAGTCTCTAAGCTGTGTTTAACAATAGATGGCGTCATTTTACATTTCAATTTACTTTCAATAGATGGCGCTGAACACAGTCTATTTTTAAATATAGATTTTGACACGCAACACACCATGTGCTGCGGTGTCCGAGTGGTTAAGGAGATGGACTTGAAATCCATTGGGTTCTACCCGCACAGGTTCGAATCCTGTCCGCAGCGAGATTTAATTTTTTGAAAACTAATTTTTAATTGGTAATTGTTTATTTGGCTTCACTTTGTTCTCACTTTTATTTTAATTTGTTTAATATATATCTATATTTATAATTGAAAACAAGTTTTTGTACTTTTTTTTGTGTTATATTTTGTACGTCTGTTACAAAAAATAGTTTTCATCATTTTATAATCTTAACTATGTTTTGTTTGATTTTTGTATGTATATTAAAAAAGAAACTTAATACAATACGACTGCATTAAAAGAAGTATTATGTATATAGCCTAAAACCTAACCACATTCTCCGCAACAGAACTTTACTGCTTTGGAGGTGGGCGGTACACGCCCACAACAACAGCATGATCACGCTCGTAGGGTTCCAGCGTCAACTGCTCCTGTGGTTTCAGTTTGTCTGCCTGCATCTTTTTCACCTCAGCGGCAAACACAGCCTCGGGTTGTGCTGTGGAATCAATGCAGGACGCCTTAATAGAGATGACAAAGTGACCACCATTCTTAAGGAAATGCTGTGCGTTCAACGCCACAATGCGGCCCTGATCCGGCTGCGCTACATCCGCAAAGATTGTGTCCACCATGCCAACCAGCATGCGATACTTGTGTGGATGCCGAGCATCCTCAATGATAGGTATAATGTTGGTGCGCTTCTTGGCTACATTTATCAGATCACGACCCGAGCGATGGGAGAACTCAACGGCATATACTAGACCTTCAGGTCCGACAACGTCTGAAACATGAGACACCGTTGTGCCAGAGGCGCCACCCAAATACAGCACCTTGGAGCCAGGTGGCATGTGTATTTTTTCAACACCGCCAAGAATGGCAGCGGCCAGCTTAGATCTGAACGGATTCCACACGCGATACTCAATTTTTTCGCCGCCAGTCTGCAAGTAAAACAATAGATCAATAGAGTATGTCAACTTTAGGGGTCAAGTAGTTGCTGAAGTCTGAGATGTCTCAGTAGTGCTATAGTTCTAAGCAACACGTGGACGCCACCCGCAGCTGCTTAACATGCACCTGGAGTGCACACAGGCGGGCAGACGCCGCGCTTGCTCATGGCCACACAATGCCATGTTCTGTACCCCTGCACAACATCATCATGGACAGCATATTTTACTGAATATCTTTCGTTTACACACCTCAACGGAAATGCGCTTCTCGCCGTAGACTTCGGAGCCGGGAACATAGTTTCGTGTTACCAGAGCATCTTCTTTGCCCCGCGCAATGAATACGCCTTCATGACGATGTGGTTCAATGGTGACTGTTTTGCCGCCTTTGAAGCCACCAGCGCCACCGCCACGGCCGCCGCCTCCACGGCCACCGCCGCCACGTCCACCAAAGCCACCGCCGCCGCGACCTCCGCCACCACGACCTCCACCACCGCCGCGCCCACCAAAGCCGCCGCGACCTCCACCGCCGCCACCACGTCCACCTCCGCCTCCACGTCCACCAAATCCGCCGCCGCCACCTCCACCACGACTACCACGTCCGGCGCCACCACGGAAACCACCGCCACCACCGCCGCCTCCTCTACCGCCACCACCACCACGAGGACTGAAACCTGAAAGAGAATTTACGTTTGATTATATTGCAAACACATTGTTTTCATAGGTTAAGCATTTATTGATTTGTTTTGAGGAAGGTGCGTTTTAAAGTGCATTTTAAAGCGCTTACTGTTACTTTTGAGTAACTCACCTGGCTTACCCATTTTATTTGTCTGTACTTTTGATTTTTAATACAACTTGAAACCAATCCAAATCCAGACGCACGCGGCACACTATTAACGCTGTTGAAAAGAAACCACGTGTGTGTGGTAGGGCTGCATTATATTCGTATATCGATTGTTAACAGTTTGATAACAGCCCTGATAGTGAACGATGCGCTAGTAGAGTTTCTTGGTGATTTCACGTTTTGGTCACACTGTTTCCAGCGCAAAAATGGCCGTCGCATGAAAATTGTGAGAAAAGTTTTAAGCGCCGTGTTTGCCATTTGTGTATTTTAAATCAACGAAAAACTATACAAGCGTGAACGCAAAACGTATACAAATGTAAGCAAATTAGTTAAGTGCCTGCAACTATCGTTTTTATTAGCATAACATAACAATTGCCTATCCTCGGTTCGTGTTCGGTTTCGATTATTTGTAGCTGACAAAGCAAAAACAGAAAGAAAAAAGATATATATATATGCATACATACGTATGTATGTGCGCGTGTGTGTGTTGTGTGCCGCTCTGTGCGTCTAGAGCACAACAAATGTCGAAGAGAAGCCGGTGCGCGCGTCGCTACATTGCTGAAATACAAATTAATTTTGAAACATTGCATTTAATTGGCCTTCATGGCCGTGTATGTCGCGGCATGGGCTGAAAAGCTGAAATAATTTTGTTAAAGCAACGACGGCATCGCTACGATATTATGGCAGCCGCGACGCGCACGTAGAATTCGCTTACGTATCCAGCTGTTTGTCGTCACCCGGTCATTCTCTCCTCTCTCTGTCCCTCTCTCATACACGCTTGTCGTGGTGCGTTGAGTGTGGGTTGGTAACGTTACAACGATATACCTAAGCTGCCAAGCGCGCGTGTTTCTTTTCGCTCTCTCGTCTGTTACGCTGGGACTGTTTTCTATCTCTTATTGTTGTTGTTGTTGATGTTGATATTGTTGTTATTGTACGCCATTTTTAATGCCTCTCTTTCTCTCATGTTTTTTAATCAATTGTAATATATTTGCAGCTTTTTGTGTGTGTGTATTTTTATGATATATTTATATATATGAAAGAAAAAATGAGATAGTGTTCCGCGCGAATTAAACGAAAAGAAAAATTACGTGCGCGAAAGAGGTCGCGATACGCTCCGTGTAATGGCGTCGCGCAGGCGTCCCGATTTGAATCCAAAACTGCACATGGACAGACAGCCGACAGCTGCACGCATAACAGGTACCTAATAGGTATATCGATAACACACTTGTATCGATCAATGTCCACGGTATAATGGGCTTAACACCACCACACGACAACAGTTCGATATACGGCAAAGATCGAGCGTAGCAAAAACTTTATAAAATAATAAATACAAAGAAAATGACTTGGTTTGATTTTAGTTTCAGAGTGAAAGCATGCAATAATTGTTATTGGAAAACAATAAATAGGATTTGAATACATATTCCTGAGGATGAAAAAGGCAAAATATTAACCCTGCCTTCATATGTATCTAATAAATCGACTTTAGGTTTTCAAATCTTTAAATCAAATCATTTTAGACTTAGAATCTTTAGTATAACTGAGATGTGTTATATGTTAAACTTTAGCTATCTTAAAAAGTATAAAAAAGTTTTTAAATTTCTTCAGACGATTAAACCTCATTTACTTTATTTAGAATTAGCCAGGCTTTATTTATTATAAGTGTTTTCACTCGTACTCCGTAGCCAAATGCAACAAGTACCAACAAAACACGATACTTTACAAATAAAGTATAAACGTACTCTGAAACCGTTGTTAATAGCATCCAATTACGTTATGAATTTGCAGATCCATCTTTACCCGCTGGCAAGCGTCGCGAAATCGATAACGTTATGAAGAAGGCACGTGCCAACACCACAAACGATTACTGGGACAAGAAACTGATCGAAGCCGAAGAAAAAGATCCGAATCGTTGGCGCCACACCGGCTACAAGAAAATGTACATTCAAGGTGAAAGCAGCTCTGGCGAAAGTGAACGCGATACTGCACAGGCCAGCTACTCGCGTTATCCTGGCGCACCGGCCAACTCTGGTCCGCCGCCACCGTCGTCGTCGTCGTCCGCGCGTTACGGCCGCTCCCGGTCACCGCATTCGCGAAGTCGCTCGCGTTTGCGTAAGTCGCCGCCGTTGTCACCGCCGCCGCCATCACATGCGCGTCGTCGCTCGCCGCCGCCGCAGTTTATGGAGCGCAGGCCCGTCATGTCGCCGCCTTCGCCACATCATAACGGACCGCCGCCGATGCGTGGCCGCCCACGCTCGCCACCGATGCCGCCACGCAGCATGCCCCGGTCGCCCAACAACCACCACAACAGCAATGCTGCCGATATGTTGCGTCGTCCGGGCAACGGCCATGGCCGTCCGCGCTCTCCGCCCGAGCCAGTTGCCGGCTCATCGTCAGCTCAGCTGCGCCGCAAGCCGGCAAACGCGTCGCGTTCACCGCTCAGCCGGCGTCGCTCGCCGCCGCTGCCGCCGCCATCGTCGTCATCGGCCTCAAATATGGATAAGCGTGGACTGGGCGCAACGCACATTCTGCCCCGCTCCAAGCGTCCACCTTCCCCGCCGCCAAGGGTAAGCAACTGCCACAATTAACTCCGCTTCGTTGTTCCAAAATTTTATGATTTGTTCTATTTTGTTGCAGCATTCGATGCGCTCGCGTTCGAACAGTTCCATGAGCAGCAGCTCAGATGATTCCTGTTCGCTGTGCTCGCCCAGTCATCGTCACAGATCTCGGTGAGTTGTTGAATAACTGCGAACAACAGTTGTAGAAATACTTACTGTGCATCTTTTGGTCAAAAGCAAATGATTTAAGAACTTAATTTAATTAAAAATTTATTATTGACGTTTTATTATCTTCAACTAAAAATTAATTTATTTATTTCAATCTTTCACTTTTGTAGTTCGCGCGGTCCGCGTTCTCCGCCGCCTAAGCCACGTGGCCATTATCGGGGCGCCGGTGCGCCACCGCCGCTGCCGCCGCCAGAGTCCCATGGTCGCTTGCATGGACGGCCCACAACGCCGCCGCCGGTGCGGGGTGGGGCTGGCATTGACAAATATCGTGAGGCCAAAATGCGACACATAAGCCACGAACGGGGCTTGTCGTCGGATGTGCATATGAAAGTCGGTCGCGCGTCGCGTCATTCACCACCGCCAGAGGACCCGCGTCTCAAGCATCGGCCGCCAGAGCCACCAGAGCCTGCAGCACCAGCAGCAGCCGCACCACAGGCCAAAAAGAAAAAGAAGGAGAAGGAGGTAAATTGTGAAAGGAAAAATGTACTAATTCCAATCACTGATCGATTCAATACATTTGACTCTTTACAGTTACGCACGCGCGTTAAAATTGAAGGTGAGAAACGTAAGAAGCATTCGAGTGCGACGGTCACCACGAGCGCCGGTGCTAGTGGCAACAATGCCAACTCGTCATCTGATTCGGATGATTCGGGCGGTTCCGATAGCGATGAGGCGACCCCTGCATTACCCTCATTTTCGGCAACAACGCGTCTAACGCTATCTGAGCGATTTGGCAAAATGGCTCAGTGGAGCATTGATCGCAGCAACATGGAGAATATGCGCATTACCAAAGATTCGGCGGGTGGTGCGCTTAAAGTTATGATCGAGGAGGGTCTGGAATCGCCGCCGCGTCGTTATTCGTACTCGCCGGCGCCGGCTGGTCATTTTCCCGAGGAGTTGGCCACCACAGCACCGTCGGGCATGCTGTCGTGGGATGATGTGCGCGTACGTTACGAGTACTACAAGAGTCGCGGATACTTGAGAGACTTGGATCTAAAGGTGAGTGGGACAGTCCATTTAATATGTATTTAATTTAATCTGCTCATCTCCCTCTTTCATGACAGGACTACATCAAGTGGGAGGAATGGTGGTATAAATATCAGGAGTGGTTAAAACAGGAACGCTATTACGAGTACTGGGATCGTAGTCAGCAGCTGCGCCGACGGCGCAAGAAGCTGCCAGTTACTCAGCGTTTAAATTAGTTAAATGCAGTTAGTTATTTCCCCTTGACCCTCAGCTCACCCCCCTATTCATTCTGTTAGTTTTTCTAGCTCTTATGATTCTTTAACATTTCATTCACATTATTTTTCAAGTTTTCCTTTTTTGTACATTTAGAATGTATGAAAATGCATTTCGTCAACTTTTGTAATTGATAAATTTTTATTTATATATGTATATGTAAAACAATCATTGTCGGATGTCGAATGATTGCTATATATATACATAAATATATATACACACATTTACTTATATATATTTGAATATATAAAAAGGGTTTAATCGAAATTTAACACACAGCATTGTAAAATTTCAGTTATATATTTTCTGTGTGCGTGTTATTTTTTTTTCAGGCAGCAAGATACATTTGTAAACGCATTAAATAACATACATTCAAATCATAAATAAAGAAAAATCATATATAATATTGTGTTTTACTTAATATGTAAATTTATATAAATGAAAATGTTGAAATGGTCAACTAACAGACTTCTCGCGGTAGCCATGACGTAAACATTCATTGACATTCAACTTACGTTACGCTTGTTACGATTAACAGTGCTTTTTCTGTGGGTAAGTGTCTGTACTAAGTGCGTTGGAGTATTGGCTAAACTTTGCAAAGCTCTTGTGACTACGATTTGAAAGCTGAGGCTCGCTTCAAGGTCGACATTTACATAATTTGCATACATAAATAAGTAAACGACTCCACAGGGCCTATGACTTGAGTGTTATGGGCGTAGAGGGAATATGTCCCGGATGTCAATGTCGTGACACGTCACAGAAACAAAATATATGCACGCAGGGTTAGTCTGACGGCATATAAATTGAAAAATTCACATATAAAAGTATGTAATTATTTCGCATGTTTTCAATTTGCGCAAGCCAAAGATGTAGCGGCTGCATACGTCTAAGACTGGTGTCTGCTCCACAAATGGATAACGGATGTTAAGGTACCGATATGATGCCAAAGCCAACGGTTTCCGCTGTACAATTAAACTTGGTAAAAAACAGGTAAATGATAATTAAATAGGTTTTAATGGCTGTTGGAAGCGAACATATTAAGATAAATTTTCCTTTAATATATAAGACGTTGTTCTATATATTTTAAAGACATATATTAACAATAACAATGCCAGCTTTCGATTCTCAGAATATTTTTTTACTGCAATTCATGAGACTTAACCATAAAATCCTAAGTACAGTTACATTGCGCCGTTACATTTAACTCCATTCCCTATAACTGCCTTTGGCACTTGGTAACTAACCTCAATCTGTAGCTTGCCGTCTTTAATGCCTCCAGCCATGCCCTAGTACAATTAGGGCTTGCCTATGTCTAAGAAACAACAGAGTGTTAAGAAGGCTTTAAGCCACGCAGACTCTACTCGTCCGTCATTCAGCTCCCCCCGCTTCGGTGTGCTCAAACGAAGCTAGAAAAACTTGAGGAAAAGTCACGTCTAATTACACACATCTTAGAGCAGCGTTTTGACCTGGTTGTTGGTCGGTATGGGATTGCATAAGGTTTCTTATATTTCGCCAAATTGGTTTTAAAAGCCACAATGAGAGGCGTTCATGTGTGTGTGAGAGAGATATAGAGGTAGGGAGAGGGAGTGGGGGAAGATGAGGCAGTGAGCACGTGAGCAATTATTACGGTTAAGCAGCAGCGGGAGTGTCAGATGAATCTGCACAATGTGAGCATAGAATGTACATGTATGTAGGCGTACTTATAAGCCTTGTATAATCTACATAAAATGCTATTATGTGCTAAAAACGACAAATAAGTGTCAAGCAATCAACAAGGCGACACAAGCAGCGCGTTGACAGATGCCAACAGAACGCCCTCTGGCGGCCACATACGCAAACAAAACGAAGACGGCTGTAAATTGTCAACGAATGTGTGAAAAAAATAACTTAAGCCTTACACATGGAATGAAAAAAATTGTAATAATTGAATTTGAGTGCGGAAAACAAGTGAGGCGCAAAAAGCGGCGACTGAGCACAGGCAACGCCCGCAGCCGGTAGTCATCATTAAGAAGCTCCATTTGAGCCGACCAATCACGCACAAAGCGGGACACAGACGTCAATGAAAGAGGAACAGAGAGAGAGAGAGAGAGAGAGAGCGTGAAAGAGTGAAAGAGATGAGCGGTTGGCTGGGGGAAAGACTTGTGAATTAACAATTCCTTTCAATTAAGTGTGCAACCGACAAAAAGGCGTGCACAACGCCAAGCGTCCAACGATATTTTCGTTTCAATAAAAATCAAGCAACTGCGGCCAGGGCTGCATAACAACCAATAACAACTTAATGCAAAAGTAAACAGCAAATCAATTTTCATACTAAATTATCAGACATTGCCATAACATAAAATGATTTTGTATATATATTTTATTTATATGTTTATTTAAACAAACCATTAACTGAACCGGTTGGCTGTGCAGCCCTGGTTGTTGGTGCGCGCTGCAGCACAAAGTAAAAGTAATGAAAACGTTGCATACGTACGGGCGCAACAGCCAAACTACATAAATAAACGCAGAAAAGATAACGGGAATGTTGCAATGGGTAGTCCTGCTCTTTCTTTTTCTATTTTTGTTTTGCTTGTTTTTTTGTAGTTTTTTTTTTGTTTGGCTTTAGCGCTTGGGGTCTGGGGCTGGGGCGCTCTAAAATCAGCAGCGACTGTAACAAGTTTCGTGTTTCTCTTTACAGTTCTTTGCTTTTTGTATTTCGTTACAGTCAATCAGTTTTGCATGAGCGATTTCTTTACTCGTTTGCGCCAACTGTACAATTTACTTACTGTGCATCAGTGGGACGGGCTGGCTGGCAGGCGACAGGGATACATGCATAGTTGAAATTGCGGGTTGCGGGTCGCTTAGCTCATTCGTTGCATTTCGCAACGAAGTTAAACCGAGTAGTTTTTGTGGTTTTGTTAGACTAGCATAACTCGCTGTGTCACAGTGTGTGCCAAAATGTCTTTTTTCTAAATCAGTTCAGCTTTAAGCTGCGAATGCGTTTTATATAAATACTTAAATACATATATATCAGTCCATTTTAAAATATATTCTAACAGTTTTGACTAAACTTGATTTAACTACCAATCATTACAAATTCTGCAATCTAGTATAAGAGTTCGAAGCATTTCATTTGAAATTTTAGATATGGATACATATATGTTATGTGGTTTTGGATAACATTTTTCAAAATATATTTTCTTATAATTTTCTTTAAAAGATTTCTTGTGCTTGATTCAGGAATTTGTATGGAAAACGGCGATACGTCGCTTTCAAATAAAGTCAAAATTATTACTAAATTTTATTTTATTTGAATTTAGATTTTTTACTTTCAACTATTTTGCTACTTTTATTTTTTCAAATAAATTGTTTTTTAATTTCCCAATTATTAATTATTATGTTTTATATTATATGTAAAAATAAGTTTTACTAATTTTCTCTAACAAATCTATCCATTAAGGAAGCCAAAAATTGTTAAGCGAAATTTTAATTGTTCTTTTTTATCTCATTTGTTACATATATAATTGTGGCATTTAAAATTTTACATTAAATAATATTCATTTACTGTAATTAAATAAAAACTTTTTAATATGAGTGGAATTCCATTAAGCAATTAAATACCATCGAGAGCCGCAACTCTTGTCTTTATTTACTTTTAAACTTTTTATTTAAATAACAGCTTTTTCTGTAGTTAAGTCTTTGAATCATTGCTAAAAGTCTCATCTTCAAGGATTAGCCACAATTTGTGCCAATTTCCAGCATTGTATTAGCGCAACCTCCCATTCCCACTCATGAGCTCGATAACTTCTCCAAATAACCACTCTCTGTAATTAAAACCTCAAACAATCAAACAGTATTCAACCTGATATCTACCCTCATTCACACACTTGCAAACGGAAAACGAAGGAAAAAACTTTAGGCACACACGTAAAGATTTTCACACGCACTTCGAGCAGGAATTTTTGTTACGGCACTTCGTTGTATCCGTACGGGAGAGCTTCAGTGGCTGGCTTGTCTTTGATTTCCATTGGTCCGAGGCCATCGACGTGATATTTGCTTAATTTTTGCCCAGGGCTTTGATTTCGTTTGGTTTGCACGAATAATTATTTGCCCATTTGGGATAAAGTTTTCCTGCAGCACAGGTAATTTTCGCAAAGCGTTTCGAATTGCCAATGCGGATGGCACTGCACTCAGGATAGACAAAAACAATTAGAATCGGAATCAAACGAAGCAAACCGGAAACAACAGACACAGTCACACACACAACCACAGATGGACACACATATGGACAGGGTACACAGGCATAGAAAGCTGATATCGAGCAGTTGATTTAGCTGGAAATCAATCGAAATTCACGTTACATTCTTGGCAGTTGTAGTTAGCCCAACGTATTGTCGTTGTATTAAAGCAAGAACATTTTACGTTTGTCGATGATGAGTTTTCACTGTAGCAGTGCTTAAATTGTTTGTCACTCACTTTTATGTGTGAGGGTCACAAACGCTAACCAGTTCTCAAGAGACCCAAAACTGAATATTTAACGTAGCTGTCTCTCTCCCTCTCACCACTCGCTCTATTGTAGTTCATGGCGTAGCTGTTCATATGTTTGCTTTACAATTCCACATTGCTATTGTTGCTTTGCTTGTTGTTGCTTTTTTCATTCACACTGAATTCTCATGTTTCGTTTATTGTGTTGTTTTTGTTGTGGTCTAAAAATAACGTTGATAAGCGACCGCTCGATCGGGTGTGCTGTGGTCTATGCTGAGCATAGCGAGCTGTTGTTTATGTATTGAAATTGCCATTACTTTGGTCAACGGTCCTGTGGCGCAATGGATAACGCGTCTGACTACGGATCAGAAGATTCCAGGTTCGACTCCTGGCAGGATCGGATTTTTTTATATATTTTATAAAAATTATAAATAAATATAAAAAATAATTAATAATTACAAATGTGTTTCGTGAACTATTCATATAATTTGAAGCTTTAATACTTATTTAAAAATTGCTTTGTATGTAATATACGTTTTATTATGCATATAAAAGTGATATTTGTTGTAAGTA